TTTTTTTTTTCCATTTTTACGTTTGATTCGGTATTTTAAGTTACAAATTATCACTAAATTTTGAAACTTTTGTGAATTTCCTTTGGGATTTTGCTGTAAAAATTAATTATGCTCCTATTTACTTTGCTGTATGCCAATGCGGTGAGATTCATCCTTAGTTTTTTTTTTTTTTTGAAAAGATCACGATATTTAATAGCCAACTACACCACTAACACGTGCATTGCACGTGCATCTAACTAGTTATTTCATAAGAGAGACAGGTTTCATACTTTTTACTTAAACGAATCATTTTATTTAAAAAAACCATCATACGTACATTTCCAACTATAAATATTGTTTATGAAACTTTTAATTAATTACGATTTTTAAAAAAAATACGATTGATAAATAATTAAAAAATGAACACAGATAATTATTTTTGAATAATTTAATAAAGCTAGTTATATTGCTTGATTTCGTAGCATTTTCTCTATATATATATATATATTTGTTATACTCTTTAAATTTATTCTATAGTAAGTTCAAAAAATAAAAAAAATATTACTATGATACTAAAAGTGCCAAAAAAAAAAAAAGAGTTGGCATTAAAGGTTTAAAACTTTATTCTTTTTAGTAAATATATTAATCAATTTTAGTCCATTTTAGATGAGAAATCAATATACACCAAAATATGATTAAATGACACAATAGAAAAAGATAGAAAAGTGAACTTTCTAAAATTAAAACAATTTATTTTTGTCTAAATAAATTAATAAGAAAACATATAATCCTACAAATAAGTATTACATAGTACGGGGCATGAAAGCATTCTCACACGGTTGACTTTGTTTTCGTTAATGAGTTAGCAGGCAAAGGGATTAGTAGAGATTAGCGATTTGATTAACATTGGAAATTAGACAAGTCCTCGTATTGTAAGGCTTAGCTTGATGAGCAGAAAAATAGACTGACCATATGAGGAAAAGAATTTCTTTAATGACTGACTTTACAAAAAAAATTAAAATTTTATTTATTGTCACATCGTTTGTAATTTTACATTGTACATATTTAAAGGTGTTAAATACACGAATGGTATATGAACTTTATTCTATTTACCAAAATTATATATGAACTCAACTTTATATCAAAATTATACGTAAACTCACAAATTTATATTTCATCCATACATGAATCAACTTTCGTTAGTCAAAATTATCGAAATTGTTAGGGTCATGATGCCAGATACATTAGGATATGATGTAAATGGCTTGGCCCATGTTCCTATATTACTGCCTGATAACATTAACTGATGAAGCCCAATGAAAACCAAGCCCAATAGTCAATCCAGATAGAAACGGGTTTGGCAAATGCGACTTTGATTATTTTACCTTATAGCTAAAAGTGTAAGTTACTCTAGACCATTGGATCAATTGTTGTCTCAATCTCAATATATTATTTTACCTTATAGCTAAAAGTGTAAGTTACTCTAGACCATTGGATCAATTGTTGCCTCAATCTCAATATATTACTTTGTCATTTTGGTCTTCATCTTCTCGAGGATTTTCTGGAGTATTTGGTCTTTTCTTTC